GCTCCATCCCACGGGACGTGAGAACTGCTCCATCCCACGGGATACAGGAACTGCTCCGTCCCACGGCCGCGGGATCCGTTCCCTTCCACGGCATGCTAGAACTGCTCCATCCCACGCGACGCTGGGATGGCTCCATCCCACGGGATGCAGGGATTGTTCCGTCCCACTGCCTCGCGGACTGCTCCGTCCCACGGCCGCGGGGACGGCTCCATCCCACGGCCGTGCCCGGCACTGCAGGCGGCCGCGGCGCACCGAGCAGCCGAGTCCCATCCCCGCATCCCGGCACCGCATCCCGGCACAGCATCCCGGTGTCCCATCCCCGCATCCCGGCACCGCATCCCGGTGTCCCATCCCCGCATCCCGGCACCCCATCCCGGTGTCCCATCCCCGCATCCCGGCACCGCATCCCGGCACCGCATCCTGGTGTCCCATCCCCTCATCCCGGCACCGCATCCCTGTGATCCAGTTCCTGCATCCCAGACCCTCTTCTCCCCCTTGCATTTCACCTCCTTTCCCTCCATATTCCTGCCTTCCATCTCCTCTCTGGAAGCTTCTCCTTCTCTCACCACACTAGATGTTCAGTTAATGGCACTGAATACCCATTCCTGGAAGTGTCCAAGGCCAGGCTGGACACTTGCAGCAGCCTGGGGTAGTGGAAAGTGTCGTGCCCTTGGCAGGGGTTTGGAATGAGATGACATTTATGGTCCTTTCAAACCCAAACCATTCTAGGATTCTGTCAATGATTCTGTGATTGTAGTGTCTTTATTCTGCGTGACACAGAATTGTCCCCTCAGTCCACAGGTGGATGGACACACAGACAAGGTATGGATTCAGGAAAACCATGCATATCCCAGTGCAACCTGGCAGGTGAATTGCTATTTCTCCTTGCATTTACTCTCCTTTACATCTCCTGTCTCTCTGCTGTGGCTGTGGAAGTGCACAGGAGCTCAGATGGCAAATTGAGAATTTTATGTGTTTTTATTCCACAGCTGAACACCAAGAATAAAGCAGGAAGGAGTTTCAGTTTCGCTCTCCCAGTGTACACAAATCTCTGAAGTTTTCCTGCGACTAGGTTTGTAAAACTGATATCACAATCCCCAACCCTACAAGGGTCTCTGAAGGGCCAGTTAATGCAGTTAATATCACAAAACTAACTCCTACTAAAACCTGGCATCAGATGTTTGTCATGATCCTCACATGTCCACAGTGCTGCTGTGGCCTCAACTCAATCCCTGGGAGCGCTTTGGAGAACCACAATAAAAGAAAGATCTAAAGCTGTGAGAGAGCGTCCAAAGGAGGGCAGGGATGGGGCAGGGTGTGGAGGGGCCCGTGAGGAGCAGCTGAGGGCACTGGGATGGTCCAGCTGGGGCAGGCTGAGGGCAGAGCTCCCCGGGGCTGCAGCTCCTCCTGGGGCAGCTCCAGCTCTGCCCTGGGACAGGGACAGGAGCCAGGGCACGGCTGGAGCTGGGCCAGGGCAGCTCAGGCTGGAGAGCAGGAAAGGTTCTTCCCCCAGAGGTGCTGGCACTGCCCAGGCTGCCCAGGGAATGGGCACGGCCCCGAGGCTGCCAGAGCTCCAGGAGCCTTTGGCCAGCGCTGCCAGGGATGCCCAGGGTGGGATTTTGGGGGGTCTGGGCAGGGACAGGGGTGGGCTGAATGATCTCTTCAGTCCCTTCCAGCTCAGGATGTTCTGTGCTTCCATGATTCTAACAAGAGCTCTGTTTATATGCAGAGTGGGATAAGGATCTTAGATTTCATAGGATTCCTGAAACTGGGGGTGATGATAAGAGATTCAAATCTCCAGACCCTTGCTGTATCTGCATAACCTTCTTTCTAAGGGAGTTTTGATAACAGGGATGGACAAATCAGGGAGAAGCTGGTCCCACAGCCAAGTTCCCCTGGCTGGAGGGGCTTGGTGTGGTGCGTATTGCAGGCTTTGCACTCTCCATTGGAGACAGGAACTCTGGATATTTTGAAAAAAAATGCAATATTTTTCTGATTACAGTAGTTTAAAAACTTTTGTGGTGAGCAGGAGCTCACTGCTCTCCAAGAATGAGTAAGTTATTTACCAGCGTTCCTTCACCATTCTGGAAATCCCCAGAGAAAAACCAAAGCCTACTTTGCTGGTGTTAGTCATGTCAATTTGGTGTTTTAGTGAGGGCAGAGATGTGGAGATATGGCTTAGGATGGGCAAAAACCCTTCTGGCCTTTACTTCAGCTAAAGCTGTTGTGGTGATAACAAGAGTCTGGTAACAGAATCAGCATCCTAACCCCACTCTCTCTCCGTGTGTCTGCAGGAAGGGGGAGATTATTTACAGAAACTCAGTGACATTTAGGGGGTTTACCCTCCAAAGGCTGAAAATCCCCTGCTGCACAAGCAGCCCTCAGAGGCTGCAGCCCTGCAAGCTGTGCCAAGCCAAGTGCTGAGCCTGCCCAGAGCTGCCCCACCTGGCTGGGCCTCAGCTGCTCAGGGTGTCCGTGGATTCTCTCAGGATCTCCCCTTCTCTGACATGGCTGCACTGTGCATTTCCAGAGCTGTATTTAACATTTATTGCTGACAGCAACTTTGGTGTGCCTGCGTTTGAATTTGGTGACATCAGCTGCATTAGTCAGAAGGGAAATTGTGGAAAAAAAATTTGTTTTAGAGAGACAGGTCTGGTCCTCACTCTGCTGAGACAGCTTTTATAACCGTTTTCTACTTTTATTTCTCAAGTTAATTCTTTTCTTTGAAACATTTCAGCTCAAGCCAAGAGAGGCTGAAATTACCAGAGCTGCAGGACTGATCCGATGGATGTGCTCACATTCCTAATTGCCTTTGCACGAGTCATGGTGTAAATCAGAGGTAATCCCTCTGCAATCAGTGGGATTAGATCAGCTTAAAAATACTGCGAGGAGGAGGAAAAACAAAGCCACACCTGGGGCTAAGGACCAAGGAGAACACACTGGTTTCACTGCATGCTGTGAGGCACAGGCACTGCAGGTTTGCTGCTTCAAGGAGACCTGCTGGGAGAGGGAGGGGTCTCAGGGGGAAACCCTAAAGAAATATCTGGAGATCACTTAGTTTTGTCTTTTTGACCCCTTTTAGGGTATGATGGGCATCCAGAGGGTGCAGCCCTGAGGAAAAGAACCTGGTTGTTTCCAGGAGCTCCATGCAACTTTTCCCCACTTAGCCAAAAGGGACTGGGAAATGGGACTGGAAAATGGGACTGGGAAATGGGACTGGGAAATAGGACTGGGAAATGGGACTGGAAAATGGGACTGGGAAATGGGATTGGGAAGCAGGACTGGGAAACGGGACTAGGAAATGGGACTGGGAATCAGGACTGGGAAATGGGACTGGGAATCAGGACTGGGAAATGGGACTGGGAAACGGGACTGGGAAATGGGACTGGGAAACGGGACTGGGAATCAGGACTGGGAAATGGGACTGGGAAACGGGACTGGGAAATGGGACTGGGAAACGGGACTGGGAATCAGGACTGGGAAATGGGATTGGGAATCAGGACTGGGAAACAGGACTGGGAAACGGGACTGGGAAATGGATCTCAGAGAAGCTGCAATTTTGCAATTTCACTGAGCCCCCTGGATTTCCCCCTGAGGTGCAAAATGAACCCCTGAGGTTCTCTCAGAGCATCAAAACACAGCAGCACCTTGTCCAGCCAGGAGGAAGCCGGGGCTCAGGGACATGAGGACACATGGGCTGCTGCCAGACAGGTCCAAGAGGATGTGACTGTGCTGGGGAAAGTTCTCTCTGCTGCCTGCCTCAATTTCCCCACCTCTGAGATGGGTCTGACAGGAGCACCAGCAAAGGGCACTGAAACCAC